AAACATATTTCTCTGAAATATTTCATATCAATTATTCTTCTGAATTTGGTGTCATTTGCTAATTCAGTGAATGCTTTTCTACTTCAGCTTTATGTATATCATTGATTTTTTTTTAAGTCACTAAATTCTGAGGTCAAATGTGTTTGACTCAAATATGTTTGAGAAATATTAGCTAAACAAAGTTTAGTTAAACCATCTAACATCTATTTATTGATTTTTTTTTTTTTTTTACTACATACCAGGGACTCTTATGTTATCTTGACTATGGAACTTTTCTGAGCCTTTATTTAAATGTTGATGTACATGGGAATATGCCCACATATGTTCTAAATCTGCCCTGGTATCAATTTCTGAATAGGTTAGGTTATGCTTCAACAACAAACAACTCCCAAATTGCAGTGATTTAAAACAGCAAAAGCTCATTTCTTGCTCATGCTACTGGTACACAATTTGTCAGCAGAGGACCTTTGCTTGTCATTCTCTGTAAGTGACCCAACCTGGTGGACCAGCAAACATTTTGAGCATTGCTAATTTCTTCTTTCTTCTCTTTCCTCTTCCTCCTCCACCTCCTTTTTTTTTTTCCCAGTTACAGCTTATTGAGATATATATAATGTTGCTAGGTTTTGTTTTGTTTTTGCTTTGTTTTGTTTTGCTACAGAGAAAGAGAGTTCTGGAGACTTTTTCAGCAGCATTTAAATGTTCTAACCCAGAAGTGACATTTGTCATTTCTGCTTACAACTCATTGTCTAGAACCAGTTACATGGCCCCAGCCAACCACAAAGGTATCCAAGAAGTGCAGTCCTAGCATGTTCTCAGAAGGTAGGGAGCCAGAAAGATACAGTGAACACCATTAATGACTATCAAATGTGAGCATAGTATACAACGCTTCTCAAAATTGTTCCTAGAAACTTTTCTTCATGAGGCATTTGGAAGACTGTGTTTCATGAGGGCTATGTTGAGAAACATGGGATTCTAGTCTAGAAAACAATAAAGTCCAGTAGATGCAAATTCGCTAGAGACTTTCTTCACTTCATCACGGAGTTTTCCATTGGCCTCCTTTGGCTGTGGTCATTCAGTCAGCTACAGATCCCTTAATATTACCACCCATTCCTCCATCCTGCTTGGAAAAGTTTTGTAAAAGAATTTATGAAACTTCTTTCTGAAAGCAAAAGCTGTTCAGCCTGTAGCATCCTTTTTGAGTTACGAGGCTATTTACTTGAAACAAGATGCATTTGTTTTGACTCTTGAATCCATGAGTTGAACCTATGGTTGAATCTCTTTCAATGAAAGTACAAAAAAAGAAATCCTCCATAGATTTTGCCTGACGTCTGAGTAATAAAAATGGATTCTAAAGTGTAACTGGAGAACACCCAAAGGCAACACTACCTCATATGGATGTCATATTCACCCATATAAGTAACCAGACATGATTGCATGCAAAGTATGAAGTTGAGGCTGTCTAGGAGATAAGCCACATGAACAAGAAGGATTGAGGTATGAAAGCAATATCCTCCTTCCCTGTAAAATTGTAACTGTCTGAGGAGGAATACCTCCTTAGGCTGCATGTGGTAACATAGAAACACAATTTCTTTGCAAATCTTGAAGCAGCTCCCAAGGAGGCCATGTATTTTAATGAAATACATGCAGACTGCGGTGTCCTGGAGCTATATATGCGTCTTGCCATTTATTTCTATTTAAGGTGAGCTTTGGCTAGGAGAGGCCAGAGGGAGTTTGGCTCTACTGGAAATTGCCCTAATGATTCTGATGTGGTGAAAAGGAGACAACTAGACCAAGCTGGGCTTGTGAGGATGGCTTGCCCAGGAGAAGGGTTTGGTCTCTTAGAAAATTGAGTCAACAAGCACATTGACTGATGTGGTATTGGCTTATGCCCTGGCAAGTTCGAAAAATGACGTAAGGCCAATTTCTTGGGTATCTGTAAATCCCAAGAATGGGGAATTCTAAAAACAAGAAAAGGAGGAATCAGAAAGGACTTTTTTTGTGCATTCCCTAATTCAAAGTAAAAGACACCCTTCTGTCCTTAACTTTTCCAAGTCTTACAAAATGAAACTGAAAAGACTTTCAGAAAACCATCACCGTTTAGCTTTTGTGACTGTAGAGAAAATTGTGTATTATAAAAGCTCAAATATTTTGAGATTTTAGGTTTAGTTGTTTGGCCTTTTTATTGGTGGAATATGATGGGGACCGAGTGATGACAAGGATGGTTGACCAAGGCTCTATGGGAGACAGCACGGCGTTAGGAGTGACAAGACCTTGCATTGGGACCTGCTGCTGTTCCTTACCAGTTATGTGGCTTCTGGCAAATGGTGTCGCCTTTCTGGGCTACAGTGTGCTCTTTTGTTAGACAAAAAAAAAAACACGGGGCTTAGAGCCTGTAGTGACAGTTCATTTGTTTAGTGCTTTTAAAAACATTTTTCTTGTTTAGTGCCTTTCTGTTCAGAGAGCTCTTCCTTCCACTTCTTTAATTTCATTTGCTCCTCACAACAGCCTGGTGGGGTAGTTAGGCTGTGCTTATTGCCCCCACATTTTACAGTGTCCAACGATGCACACACAGCTCCAGGTGGCCAAGATTGTGTACAAACCCAGATCTTCTGACTTCACTTCTTGGTTGATTTGTTTCTACTAGGTGGTTCTAGCTAACGTTTTTAGCTAATAATGTAAAAGTTCTAGAAGCACCTTTTATTTTTAACAAATAAATTAATTTTTAATTGACAAATAATTGTACATATTCATAGGGTATATGGTGATGTTTTGTTGTATTTAATGCATAGTGATCAGATCAGGGTAATTAGCATATCCATCATCTCAAACATTTATTTCTTTGTGTTGGTAATGTTCAATATCCTCCTGTAGCTATTTGCAATATATTATGTTTAATTTAAAATATTCTTTAAGGACCCTTAGCCACTTCTGGGGTGATCAGCACCATCAACACTCAGAAACCACAGAAAGGGGAATCCATTCAGGCAGGATGTTGTTTCTCTTCCTAACCGTGTATTGTTTCCAGCTTTCTATCAGTTCTTTCCTCACCCGCTTTCCCGTGGAGGTCACCGTCTTGCGCCCTGCCTCCTTGCCTTTCTGCCTGCGCTTTCACATGCTAGTGCTGACAGATCTGGCCTCTGCAGGTGCTTGTAGTGACACCAGACCTTGTGAGAGGTGTCTCCCTCCTAGGTTGGGTGTGAGTGGTTTCTCTTCTGAAATAGTCTAATCTGAAAGAAATCTCCTTGGCTGTTTGACATGGCATGAATCATAGTGTCAGAAATCCTTTCAAATCCAGGAAGGTAAGTATATTTCATTGGAGCCATCTTTCCAAACATAGGCAACCTTGAATATTTCACTTAAGATGCACTAGGGCCCTAAAAAAAGATTCATGCTCAGATAGAGTCCTTCTTTAGTTTCTGGCAGTTTGGGTTCGCAGATGAGGTTTATTTCGGTGTCACTGGCCGTGGCAGGTAGCCACATGCGGCTTTGATTTTCTAGGTTGCGAGTTTCACAGTCCACGTCTCGTAGGCGGTACCAAAAAAATTGGTTTTAAATACTTAAGTATTTTCCGCATCTTCCCTTAAACGTCACGTCCGAGACTGCTTCTCACCAACCCTGCCCTGTAGGTTAGCTGCAGCATTTTCATACTTGAGATTATATCATTCCTTGTTTGAATTTGCTCCTGAGTCATCGGTGATGGGGTGGAGGCTCTGTGTGGTCCCGGCAGTGCCTCAGTCGCACACCCCTTGTCTCCAGCACCTGACCACAGCACGCAGTTCGGGATTATCCAACGCCTGACTGCCTGATGTTTTGTTTCACAGGAACAGACAATCTACAGATAAATGTCACCCCAACTCCTGAATCGTTTCCTCATGGGAAATTGTTACCAATTTCACCAACATGGCCTTTCTCAGAAGTCGAGTCTTCCTCAGCAGCGGACAGAACCAGGACTGTGCTGGGACAGTCCCCTGACAACACAAGCTTGCCGCTGCTCGCCCGAACCCCTCCGCCCAAGACCCGCCGCAGGACTAGGGCTCATGTGGACTTCTCTTCTTCCCTTTTCCAAGGAAGCGGACACAGCGCCTCCCTCGAACCTTCCAAGGATTCTGCCGAGTCCCTGGTCCAGCCAAGGCCTCAAGAGGGAAAAGAAGCAGCTGACGCATCAGGTTCGCCTGTCACCAGCATGCTTCCCCCCGCGGCCACGGTCCCATCAGTGACGTCCCCGAGTGCTGTCCTCCCATCTTGGCCAGTTCAGGCAGGGACTCCCTCCATTTCAAAGCATCCCCCAAACTCAGACATTCTCCTTCCACCTTCATCCTCTTCATTGGCTCCTGACTCACCTCATTCCATCATCTTTTCTAAGCCAACAGAGTGGCCCACCAAAGTGCATTTAGTCCCCCACCCAGCTCCAGCTGACCCCACTTCAGGTCCGAGTGTAGCTAATCCCCTAAACCCGTTTTCTGACGAAACAGACCACACTCCATCGCAAAATCCCCAGGATTTCATAGGCACCCCTCATCTAGGTTTTTCAGGATCCTCAACAAAGCAGTATTCTAACCTGTCCCCAACAGAGGGTCCCCACTCAGCAGGCTCACCTACACCAGGGTTTGGGCGCTCCGGGGCAGAACTGGCCCATCCGTCCCCCCCTCCCCCAGCCCCTGGAAGTCTTCTTCAGCTTCCGGGTGGAACCCCCTCATGGTCAGTGTTGGAAGTGGCTTCGGGTCCTGCGTCCACACAGCCAGTCAGAGCTGAGGTGCCTGAAAGAGTGCACGATGGGGTGTCTTTGCCGACTTTTAAGAGCACAGCAGCAGCGACCCATGAGGCTGAGTCTCCGCTTTTCCAGACTGCAGAATCAGTGGCCATAGACATGACCAGCAGCAGACAGCTAGTCCCTGCTACTACCAATGACTCTGCTAACCCGCTGCATTTGTCAGCAGCTCCAGAGAATTCCGGAAGGCCCGCCCATTCAGCAGAACACACATCTTCCTCTTGGGTGCCTTCTCCTCTGCCTTTTACCACACCAGGTCAAGGGCGAGCCATGCTCTCTAGAGTGGTTCCCGCGTCACCATGGAACAGGACAGCTGACTTTCCCTCCACGCTCACTTTCCTCCAGCCTGCAGAGAGTCATGCCCTCCCACCCCCTGTGCCGGGGGTGCCCACTCCTCCAGAAGAGGACAGTGATGGGGCCCTTCCTACCGCAGCTACAGACTTCCTCCTCTCAAGCAGAATTCCTCGTCTTTCAGTGACTTGGACAATTCCCCCGTGGAAAGAGGACAGCGTGACAGCCATTTTAAGGAAAAATGAAAAGGCAAATGTGACAGTTCCTCTCCAGGCCCTTTCAAGTAAAGAGGTTTCGAGTCTTCACACTGTAAATGGATTTGTCTCTGATCTCAGTGCTGACTGGAGTTCGTCTGCTGTCCTTACAGCACCCGAAACAAAGCTCCCTCCTCCAGGATCACCTCCACCTCCCACGCCTGCCGTACAAACAACCTGGACTGTTTCCCCATCTCCTGGCTTTTCCAGCACCAAGCCAGAGACGTACACAGCTACTGTGGGCCATTCAGAGTTGCCAGCTTCAGCTTCCAAACAGGTGACAGCAATTCCCTCCCCCACTGATGTCTATGATTTCGCAACAATGGGAAACATGAAAAAGCCAGCAACCACAGATGTTTTCTGGAGTTCTCTTTCATCAGTAACTGGATCCCTTTCCACAGAATCAACAATATCTGGCTTGCAGCAGCAAACAAATTATGATTTAAATGGACATGCAATTAACTCCACAAGTTGGGCAACCCATTCAGCTTCCACAACTCCTCCCCGTGGTTTAACTTCAGCTGACAATACAATAAAATCTCAGGATTTTAAAGATGCTGCTGGGCAATCAGTGACTGCAGAAGGCTTTAACATTCAGGATCTAGTCCTTGGAACAAGCACTAACCAGCCCGCACAACAGTCAGACAGGGCTGTGGTTGGAAACTCTACAGACCTCTGGCCCACAAACAATAACAGCCATTCCAGAGACTTCCAAACAACTGAGGTTGAATATCACCCATCCACAAGTCAACGTTCTGCATCTCATCTACAGTTGCCAGCCCAGCCAACACATCCTCTTTTGCTAACCTCACCAAGTTCGACTTCTACATCTAGCTTACAGGAAATGCTTTCAGATGGAACAGATACAGGTTCCCAAATTTCCAGCGACATCTATCCACCACCTGTGATAAATGCTTCCATACCATTCCAGAGCATCCTGAGACATCACTCTACTGCTGAATCTCCTCCTATATCAACCAGTGCCTTTTCCAGGACCCTCTCCAAAGTGCTGCAGGCTTCTCAGCACCCCAAGAAATGGACAGGTGCAGCCACTAGTGGAGGTAGTTTGTTTCCTGGTTCCCCCAAAACAGGTATGACTGCTTTTGTAGCCAGAGCATCTTCAAGCTCAACACAGATGCCAGCTTTTCTCTGAAGGAGCACAAACCCTCTTTCAGGAGTGAGCTAGCACCCCCAAATAGTCATGTCATTGATCTTCTGTCCACCTGATGTTTTGAAAGTGTTCAGAATTTGTGTCCTCCTTGTCAACCACAGCTTTGCCATAAGTGGCATTCTCATTATGGTTAATTGACTAAAGGAGCCTAAAGTTGTTTTGAGTAAGTTCTCCCCACTGCAAGCCCAGAGTGCAGAGACTTTTCACCATAGCAAACCCGTAAGTTACATCCATCCATCATCAGAAAAAGTGATGTATACATTCTAGGCCAATGACAGATGTTGCTTTTTGTCTCTTTACAGTGGACTTCTTGGTGTCATCCAAGGTAGAGCCAACAGCAGCAGCAGCGGCAGCAGCAGCCACGTTGTTTCTGCGGAAACCAAGTCCACCGGCGCTGTCTGCAGCTCTAGTTGCTAAGGGTACTGGCAGCAGCCCTTTGGCTGTGGCCTCAGGATTAGCCAAGAACAGTTTGACCACTACTCTACCTAAAAATGTCACAAACAAGGTGGCATCTGGCCCAAAGGCAACACAAGGGGCACTCCATACAGCCTTCCCATTCACGCCAACCTACATGTTTGCAAGAACAGCACACACCACGAGCACACATACAGCCATGCAAGGGAACACAGGCACTGCCTCTGGCCTGTTGTCCACAACACACCTCCCCAGGAAACCACAAGCCATGCACACAGGCTTCACAAACCCCACCAACCCGGAGATGCCCAGAGCATCCACCCCCCGCCCGCTGACAGTCACAGCAGCATTGACATCCATGACAGCCTCAGTGAAGGCGACCCGGTTGCCACCCTTGCGGACAGAAAACACAGATGGTGCTCTTCCTGCTGCATCGGCTGCCGTGGTCACAACTGGCAAAATGGCATCCAACCTGGAGTGTCAGATGTCCAGTAAGCTCTTGGTGAAGACAGGTATGAGTCCACTGTCCTTCTGATTTTACTTGAAAGCAGCAAGCCTGGCCTCAGAGATGTAACAATTATTTTCCTTTTAGATCAGTGGTTCTCAACCAGGGGCGATTTTGCTCCTCCTCCCCCAGGGGACATTGGCTGTGTCTGGAGACATTTTTGGTTGCCATATTTGGGGTGATGCTACTGGAATCTAGTGGGATAGAGACCAGGGATCCTGCCCCTAGGACAGCCCCTGACAATGAAGATTAATCCAGCCTGAGACATCCATGGGGCTGAGGCTGGGAAACCTTGATCTTGATTATCAAGTGTCAGAGAAGAAAGGAGGAGCCTTACTGACATGGATTCTAGTCCTAGGATCAGTCCTGATATCGGAGGCCACTGGGAAACCACAGTTGGCCCGCTAATCTGAGAGTGCAAACATGCACTGTTTTTGCCTGTAGAGCAACTCAATGATGTCTCACATGAATGTGTGATGATGCAGTTTGTAAAATACAAGATCTTGGGAAGTGCCAGAGTTCAGAAAGGCTTTTTGTCATGTGTTTTCTCAATCAGCAGATAGTACAAGTACAGCTACTGCACATGATGTGGGAGCCTAGGATTTCTTTTGATGTAAAAAGAAGACTCAAAAACAATGGGGTGGGCAGCCCTAGAGCTGTGAGCAGAGCCGGGATGCTGTCTTTTCAGGCCCCACTCCCCAGTGGTAGCAAAGCAGGCCTAGAATGCACGGGGTGCTTTTAATAGTGTGGCAGCGTTTGCTATAAAAAACATTAGACAGATTATTTGAAAGAGCGTGCCAATGCTGAATGCTCGCATGCCGCCTTCCTCCTCACCCCACAGAGAATTAAATGAAATGATATCTTGAGACATATCCTACTCTAAAATGGGAAATTGTAAAACTAGGCATAGCAGAAAGTATAGTATCTCTTTCTATTTCTCAGGAAATTATACCATCTAAGATTCCACTTCCCCTGCCCCGCTTCCCGCCTGCTCTCCTCTGAGTGGCAGGCAGCCTCTAGCCCCCCAGTTGCAGAAACCTAAAATGTTCTCCTCTCTCTCTTCTCCCCTAGCCCCCACCCCAGCCACATCTAATCAGTCACAGTTCCTTTCGCTTCTACCTCCTGAATATCCCTCCTCTCTATCCTAGCTCACACTGTCATCATCGCTCACCTAAATTTCTGCACCAACAGCCAAATTTATCTCTGTGCCTTCAGACTTCCCCCCCTCCAGTCTGTTCTCCAGTCTGCGTCAAGGGAACCTTCTAAAATGCATTCTTTCCTTAAAACTCTTCATTTCCCATTGCCATCAGGGCCAAACCTAAACATGTACAGGAGTCCTTCCTTAGCTGGGGATACATTGCGGGGTGCCTGAAACCTTGGATAGTACCAAACCCTATATATACTGTGTTTTTTCCTATACACAATACCTATAATAAAGTTTAATTTATAAATTAGGCACAGTAGAGATGAACAACAATAACTAATAATAAAATAGAACAAGTATAGTAATATACTATTATAAAAGTTATGTGAATGTTCTCTCTCTCTCTCAAAATATCGTATTGTACCATAATAACCTATTTTTAGACCGAGGTTTACCAAGGGTAACTGAAACTGTGGAAAGCAAAACCGTGGACAAGGGGCAAGCACTGTATACTGAAATATTTCACTTCCCTCCTGTGCCTTTGCACTTGATATTTCCTCTGCTGGGAGTGAGTGCAGGCAATCCCTTCTTCCTTAGCCAAGTTCACTCCTGTTATCCTTCAGGATGCAGCTGAAGCATCAGTTCCTATGGAAACCTTTCCTGATCCCTAGCCCCTTGCCCAGCTCAGGGCTGGACGCTCCTTTTAAGAGTTCCAAGAGCATCATAGGTTTTTCTTCAAATAGCACCTGTAACATTCAATTACAAAGACCTCTTCTCCATCCTGTCTCCATGTCTGTCTCTGTCCTGCTGTGAAGTGAGGACCGTACTTTCCTGACTCGGGGTTGTTTGAGGCTGCAGCACCTAGCTCAGGGCCCGCACCTAAGTAGGCTGTCCATAAATGTTGTTGCAGGAATTTCATTGCATCCAGAGAAGCCACTGCCGATCGTGGCTTTCACAGTCAGAGGCAGCATCTGTCAGAAATGAACTGCCATCAGCATACCAACCCTCTCTCCATTAGGGCCACACAGAAGGCTAGGGCCTTCTTCCCTTAGGACTTCAGCAGGACCAACAGAGCTACCACTCCAGCCCGTCCCCTCGTTGGTTAGCCCTGTGCTTGCCAGCTTTACTCAGAACTTGCAGAAGGTAGCTGCTGGGAGGAGTGGTTGATTATGTGGCCGCCATCCCCTGATTGCCATGCTTCTGTTTTGCCCCACAGTCCTCTTTCTGACCCAAAGGAGAGTGCAGATCAGCGAATCCTTGAAGTTCAATATAGCCAAAGGGCTCACGCAGGCATTGCGGAAGGCTTTCCACCAGAACGATGTCTCCGCTCACGTACGTAAGCCCCCTGCTTGTAATCAGGCCAAGTCTGCCTCTTGAGTACAAAGTACATTTACACTGTTTTCCTCCTTTCTAGGTACCATAACCACACTGGCCAGAAGTAGAATCTTTCTTCATTTTGGCAAATAGCTAATCTAATGCATGTTGGCTGGAGACAAAGGTCACATTTTGAGATGGGAAATTGAGACGAATTGCCTTATGTCTAGATTTTTTTAAAAGCCTAGATATACTGTTTCAAACTGTCCCATTATCTCATCATTTGGGGAAAGTGTTTAATATCGTTTGTATAATCCCTAGAAACCGTCCATTGCTTTTTTCCTTTATCTTCCTCATGTTACAAATAGTGATTTATTTATGGACATTTAAAAATTATTCCAACTTGTAAATCGAGTCTAACTTTGCTTAAATTGCCAGCAGCAGACAGAGAAGTAAACATTTTTCTTCTCTCCAAACGCTTTAATGCCAAGTACTGTTCAACGAGCCCTGGCTGATTTCGATGGCATATCTGAGTGATGGAAGCTTTGCTTTACACTCTATGGATTTGCTTCCAAGTTTTCAAGCAGTAAATGCAATTGGCAGTTGGTGGACTCCCTTTTGCACCAATAAAAAATAATGCTCTGGCTTCTTTTTTGATGTTCTGTCCTCCAGCTGCACTCAGCTTGGTGATCCCTCCTGACCCATCACACCAAGGACTAGGAAGGAGATTTCGCACGTGGTTTATTGGTCATTGTCAATCTCTTTTATACAATTCTGGCCAAGAAAGAAAGAAAGAAAAAAAGGAAAAGGAAAGAAAAGGAAAAAAGAAAGAGAGAAAGAAAAGAAAAAGAAAAGAAAAGAAGGAAAGAAAAGAAAGAAAGAAAAGAAAAGAAGAAAAAGGAAAAGAAAAGAAAAAAAAGAAAAAAAGGAAAGAAAGATGTTCCATGAGAAACTTCTGTGGTTTTCTGCACAGAAACTCCATTTGGAATTTGAACATGTGAATGTTCCCATTTAGTTGCCTGATATGATTTTCACTAAATTTCAGTCATTCTCAAACTACGTTTTTAGTTTTGGTCTTTTCTGCATATCATCAAAGTATTAGGTTTTTAAAAAATGGGTTCATTTTTTTTAGGCTGGGCACAGTGGCTCACACCTGTAATCCTAGCAGTCTGGGAAGCTGAGGTGGGAGGATTGTTTGAGCTCAGGAATTTAAGACCAGCCTGAACAAGAGCAAGACCCCATCTTGACTAAAAATAGAAAAATTAGCCAGGTGTCATGGTACGTGACTGTAGTCCCAGCTACTTGGGAAGCTGAGGCAGGAGGATCGCTTGAGCTCAGGAATCTGAGATTGCAGTGAGCTGTGATGATGCAACTGCACTCTACCTGGCTGACAGAGTGAGAGAGACTCTGTCTCATAAAAAAGAAAAAAAAAAGGAGGATTCATTTTTTAAAACTTAAATCATTTCTTTTGAAAGGACATTTGATAATTACCATCATACATGGAAATCAGGATCATTTACTACAAATAAAAATGCGAATAATGGGAAGCAAACAGCTTGTTAAATTTAAGCTAGACGTTGTTGCCTGCAGAAGGCTCTGAGGCTGAGCCTGGTGTCCTTTGTTTGCTTAAAAAAGAAATTAGGAAGGGTTAGAAAGATGTTAAAAGCAAATAATCACTGAGCTGAGGCTTGTTCCTTGAGGTAACCAGAAGGATTGAAAAGGGAGCAGCTTTCTCACTAGATGATTTAGTGGTGTTTTGTACTGTGTCCGTGTCCCATCCTGAAGCATCCCTGTTTCAGCTAAAATTGTCTCGAACACCTTCTTTAGGAAACAGACTGAGGGAGAGCACACAGTGTGCAGGAACCAAAGCCACGCCCACCCTGCTGCAAAGTCAGTCGTCTTGCTCCCTTTGGAGAATACATGTTACTCCTAATGGAGAAGCAAGAATAAGAGGGGGGAGCAGGTGTTCAAAACACCCTGAGTTCCAGTTTTACAAGATTAAAACAGTTCTGGAGACGGACAGTGATAATGGTTGTACACCATTATGAATTTGCTTAATACCACTGATCAGCACAGTGAAATATGGTTAAGATGGTAGATTGTATGTTGTGTGTATTTTACCACAATAAAAAAATTGGGGGGCAGGGCCAAGATGATAGACTAGAAATAGCCCACACATGCTGCTCTCTAGGAGAGGATGAAAACTGCAAGTCGCTGCCCACCTGTGGATGGACTCTCTTGGAGAGAGCACTGTGGATCACCAGAGAACTGATGGGAGACACTCAGAATGGAGGAGACGAGAATGGGGAGTTCCACTTGCCAAGATTGGAAGATATTGGGGGGAGACCCCACATGTGAGGAAGGGACAAAAGAGAGAGCCCCAGAGCCCCACATTCCTTGTGTGGACACTGTGACTTGAGCTGTGAGGGGCCCCCACCACCACCGTGGGCCTCCATACTGATAGGGGAGCTGCTTGGAGACTGTATCATGAAGCTGAATCAGAGAGCAGGCTCAGCAGGGACCTGCTGGCCTCAGTTCCCAGGTTGCCGCAGCTGATGCCACTCTGAGCTCTCAGGTCCGGAGCACCCAGTCTACACAGGGATCGGCTTTGGTGCGACTGCCCCAGCACTGCCTCTTGCCTGGCCGAGGAGGAAGCAGGGAGACCAGATGCTCTCACATGCCCATGGCTGGGAACCAGGTGCCTCTCCCACCCACCAGAAAACTCGAGCAGAGCTCAAGGGGTCCCATGGTAGCAGCCTCAGCAGGACCTATGTGTGGAGAGAGCCCCAGCCATCCAGCAGCCCAGCCCCTGCGGCCCCATGCACCAACAGGTGGAATAAGCCCCCCTGACCCTGTGCGCTGCTGCACCAAGGCCTATGCTCTCTCAGACCTGAGCACTGAGCGGAGGTCCACACTGTTGTGGACCGACCCACCAACCAGCGACCATGCACATTAACTAGAGGATTAAGCCCTTTGACCTGTGCGCCACCACTGGAGGTCCATGCCCCTGTGGACCTGTGCTCCATGTGGTAGGCCACACACTCTGGCCTTGTGCACTGGCCAATGGGCCACACCCCACCCCGTGCACTGTGCAGTGGGCTGCCCCCCACAGAGCCACACACTGTGCAGTGGGCCACGCCTCTTGGTCCTGTACGCCAACCAGCAGGCCATGCCTCTGTGACCCTGAGTGCCAACCAGCAAAACAAGCCTCTCGGCCTTGCATGCCAGCTGGCAGGCCAGGCCCTCACACACTTATGGTCCAGTTCTCCACCACTACCCGCTAGCCACAAGCTGCCCCCCACTGCATACTGCCATTACACCTACACAAAGATGAAGCAAACATCTGCAGCCCTGACACCTGTGGCCACAGCCTAGATAGCCTTACCAAACCACTGACACCACCGCAGGGACACCCAGGCTGAGAAATCTCTTGCAATGCCTGCCTCAGTGGAGAGGGACTCATCCCGCTTCCTGCCAGAGCTTCCAACAACAGCCTAGGGACCAACCCACCACTCCACACGAAGATCCCCTAGCACCGGCCCAAGTCCCGCAATCTGCCCAGACACTGGCCAAGGTCTTGCAATGCATCCAGGCAACCACCAAGGTCCTGGGGCCTGCACAGTCGCTAGCCAAGGTCATGCCACCTGTATCCGTGGAGAAGGATTTGCTCAGCTCCCACCTGAGCTTCCAATAGTGGCCTGGGGACCAACACACCAATCTGAACGAATATCCCCCAGCACTGGCTTAAACTGCAACAACCACAGGGGATCAAGATGATGCAGGAGAACAGCTGGTTCTCAGTGCATCCGCCACTCTCTTGCTGGATCAGTCCTCCAGAGTATGACACAAAAGCATTATCTAGGGACCTCTCCTTCTTCTCACAAAGTAGGAGAGTTCTCAGCAAAGGGGAACAGTTGCATCACAAACCTATCAGCCCTGAGCAGAGAGAAGAAGTTTCAGATGAGAAGAAACCAGCAAAAAATTTTGGCAACATGAAAAAACAATCTTGTTCAATATCAAAGGATCACAATAGATCCACAGGAATGGACCCCAACCAAAAAGAAATTGTCGAATTCTCAGAAACGGAATTCAGAATATAGATGGCAAACAAGATGAATGAAATTGACGAGAAATTTGAAAACCAATACAAAGAAACCAAAAAAAAATTTCAGGGTATGAATGAAAAATATGAAAACTCACTAAAGAGATAGACAACATAAGAAAGGATATAACATCACTTAAAGAAATGAATGAGTCATTTAGAGAACTACAAAATACAGCAGAAAGCTTCAGCAACAGGCTAGACATAGCAGAAAAAAGAATCTCAGAGCCTGAAGACAAGGCTTTTGAATTAACCCAGCCAGTCAAAGATGCAGAAAAAAGAATAAAGAAGAATGAATAATCACTCAGAGAAGTACAGGACTATGTGAAATGAGCCAATATATGAATTATAGGTATCCTGGAGGGAGAAGAAGAAAAATCAAAAAGCATGGAAAACTTATTCAAGGAAATTATTGAGGAAAACGTCCCTGGTATCACCAGAGATTCAGATATCCAGATAGAAGATGATCATTGAATACTGGGAAGATTCATAGTGAATAAGACATTTCCAAGACACATAGTCATTAAACTAGCCAAAGTCAAAATGAAGGAGAAAATTCTATAAGCTTAAAGATGAAAGCAGCAACTAACCTACAAAGGAAAACTCATCAGGATAACAGCATATTTCTCAGTGGAGACCTTACAAGCCAGAAGGGATTGGGGCCCCATTTTTAATCTTCTTAAACAGAACAACTTTCAGCCGAGAATTTTGTATCCTGTAAAACTAAGCTTCATAAATGATGAAGAAATAAAGACCTTTCCAGACAGGCAAACACTAAGGGAATTTGTTACTACTAGACCTGCCCAGGAAATGCTCAAAAGTGCATTATACATGCAACAGCACAGTAGATACCCACCAGTGTAAAATTACCAAAAAGTTATAGCTCACAACTCTTATGAAACAATAGCACAAGAGA